TGGAAAGGAAGACTTTCAATTTTCACCTTCCATGCTTCTTATATTGCTTGAATTTTGTTTGCTGGAAGCACATACTTATTTACAATAATACATTTTAAAAAGCAAGGGATTAGGAAGGCAGGTGTTCGCTGTCAAATCCGGCCTTAGACAAGTGGTAAAAACCTGTCACACGACCCCGATTTGCTCTTTAGGAAAATCAGATCAGAAGTTCTGGAATAGTTCCAACTCGGGCCTGCAGAAGCGTGTCCTGTGCCTGCCTCCACACCTGCCAGTGCTCCCTCTGGGGCTCCTGTCAGTGAGGGCCCTGTGGGATGACTGGGTGGTGGGTAAGGCTCAGACGACTGAGGAAACCCCGTCTCTGGTGGACCCCAGCTCTGGGGCTGGTTTTGCTGCTGATGTCATGTGTCATAGGCCAGCCACAGCCTCTGTGATCTCACTCACTGCTTCTCACTGTGGCACGGAGGACAATGGGGTGGGGGGTTCACCCCCACCACACTCAGGACGCAGGCAGACAGAAGAAAGCAGGGGGAGAGCTGTGTGGCGCCAACACAGGGCTGCAAATATGTGTTCGTTTTCACAGGGCCACCTCCCTCCCAGTGGCTCCTGTTGAGAGTAGTGCAGTCCAACAGAACGTTCTGTGCTGATGGAGACGGTCTTCATCTGCACTGTACAAAAGGGTAGCCACTGGCCACATGTGACTACCAAGCACTTGGAATGTGGCTAGTATGACTGAATCTTTCATTTTATTGACTTTTGACTGATTTGAATGTTAACTTAAATGGCCCCATGTGACCAGCAGCTCCTGTACTAGACAGCACAGCCCTAGACCCTAGACCTCTGGTGCTCATGGGTAAAACCTCATGGCTCTGGAGCCCTCCCTCGTCTAAGTCAAGGTCTCTGTGATTCAGAGACAGAGCTCTCGTCCTGGCCTGCTCCACACCAGTGATCCAGAACTCACTCCCCAACCATCTCCCTGATCTCTGTCGTGTGGTCATCAGGACACCTCACCCCCACAAAGCTACTCATACCTCCAGGCCCCCAAGTTTCTGGATGCCCAGGGCCAGCCAGCCCAGGCGAAGTTCTGCCCACACTTCCCCCGAGTTGGGTGCACGTGGCCCTGGAGAAACTGGGGGTGGACAGTCCCTGGATGGACACAGAAGCTCAGTTCCAGCTGGCGGGCAAGGAGGTCAAGGGCAGGAGGCTGGGCTGACGGCAGCCTTTTGAGCAAACAGAGGAACATGGGACATGAGGTGTAACAGCATGAAAAGAACGTGGTTGGCTTCTCACTCGTAACACGGCCACAGCCGCAAATACTAAACACGAGTCCGGTTAATTCTGGAACGCTAAACTTCACGAACAAGATTAACTACAAGGGAAGTGTGAGCCCCATTCCATAAGCCACTGGGAAAATCCACGCCGTCGAAAGATTCGTTCCTCATACCCTCAATCATCATGGCTTGTGACTAACGCAGCACTGCTGAAAATGTAGAAAGAAGCCAGAGGGAGCACCAGAGAGGTGGGAATATCGCTGCAAATGACCCAAGGCTCCTCGAGGACACAAAACGGCCAATAACCTGAAGCCCATCACTGACATGACTTCGGAGCGGGTGTTCAGAGCAAGCCCTGAGCTGCATATTTGTATTTGGGAACACCCAAACTGATTACGAGGTGAAACGCACACACTTCACTTCCTCCACCCACAGGGCCGTGGTCCTTCACAGACAAGAGCTGCAAACCTGCATGAAGCCAGGCGTTATAGACAGCCTGCCTTGCATTCTTGTCACCCTGGCAGTGAGTCAAGCGTCCTTACTACACTCAGGTGTGGGCCTTGGACTAACAGCATCAGCATCTCCTGGGAGGTGGTTAGAAATGCAGGATCTCAGGCTCCACTCAGAACAACTGGGTCAGAATCTTTAGCTTAACAAGACCCCCAGTGGTTCATCTGCATGGTAGAGCTTGAGAAGCACTGCACGAGGGGAAACCTCCACTGTCTCTGAAGACACACGACCATTTCACAATCTTCACAGAGCTGGGGTGCGGAGTGGCCTGCATCACCTGCGAGGGCCCCGAGGACGGCTTTACACACCAACCAGAGGACAAGGGCTGAGATCACATGGTGCAAATTCAGGAAAACGAAAAATCAAGTATAGAAAGTATTTTCTCCATGTCTCCAGGCTCCAGACCCTCTGAAGAATAAAGAAATTCACCTTTCAGGTGTCATATCAGCTGCCCCTATTACCCTGTGTGAATGTGTTTTCATTCTGGTCCTTTCTGACAGAAAGGCCTTTGTGATATTCTCACTGCAACCTCAAAGTGACACCAGGTCTCCCAACATCTGGGCTGATCGCTGTTAATTTCAGCTGTCTTTTATATTTTTTAGGGTTTGATTTCTTTTTAAATTAAATCTAATTCATCCAAACCTACATTTTTAGAGGGGTCTGGTCTAAGCAGACTCGTCCAAATCTTGACCATGCTGCCCAAGACCACTGCCGGGACATTTCTCCTCCCCAATGAAATGATGCTCCCTCCCTCACTGAAGCTCTTAGGGATGACGTGGTCTACTTCAGGACCCTTCTAGTCCCTGACCTGGCTGGCCCTGGGCCAGCACCCTACTTGCAATGACAACAGTTTGGGAATATGTTCAGACATCAGACAGAACTGGCCATCCCAAAGCCACTTAAAAATCTATCCAATATTCTTACCTATTTTTCCCTCCAGATGGGACTTTTAGAATAGTTTTATCAGGTTAAGGGGGGAGGGCCGGCCCCATGGCTTAGCGGTTGGGTGCACACGCTCCGCTGCTGGCAGCCCAGGTTCAGATCCCGGGTGCGCACCGATGCACTGCTTCTCCGGCCATGCTGAGGCCGTGTCCCACATACAGCAACTAGAAGGATGTGCAGCTATGACATACAACTATCTACTGGGGCTTTGGGGGAAAAAATAAATAAATAAATAAAATTAAAAAAAAAAAAACAAGTTAAGAGGGGAAATCCCATTTGAAATTTTGGCTGGAAGAATAATAAACCACTAAGTTAACTTGGGAATAACTCATTTTATCTACAATATTTAATCTTTCTTATCCTGGACCATGGAATTTCTTTTCTCTGTTTAAATTTTCTCTTATACCACCTCACTCAAGTGGCTGTGTGGGTTCACACAGATCATCAGTTAGGTCTTCCTCCTAACAAGGTTCTTCATTACCTTCCAATTAGGACCATTTTGCCTTTCTTTCTAATATTGTCATCACATTTCTGTTTCATGCCTTATTTCAAATGTCCAAAGCCATACATGGTAATAATAGCCTAGGACACAGGAAGCTCCATTCTGAACACACCTGCTGTGAGAGAGCCAGAAAACAGGCCGGTTCTCAGTTCCATCCCTGTCTTTGTGTCTCAAATGCCCCTGTGCCTAGGTCAGGTGGAACGTCACCTTCAAGACAGGGCAGTGTGCCTCCCTCCAGCCTGCGGACGCAGGGCTGAGGCGGACTGTTTGGGTTTTCAAAGGGCTTGAGAGGTCGACCTGACCTGTGGGGTCAGATGGGCTGGTCCTTCGCCCTCAGTAGGAGCCTGCACCCACTCACAGAGGACAGGTGCTCTCGCACGGAGCACGGTGCTGCTATAGCAATGCTCCTCCCAAAGACTGGGGGAGGAAACACCCAAGAAAAGGTAATGTAGCTTCACAAAGGGGCAAGAGAGGGAAATCCAGCTAAAAATACAGGGCCCTGTGCTACCCAGCACAGGTCCAGACACTCCCGACTCCCTAAGATGCCTCATCAAGACAAATGCAATTAATTTTCCACATTGACTAATGCTAGTGAAAGGCTTAAAAAAAGAGAATAGAAAGAAAACATAAGACCAGTGTATCAAATAAATGATGAACATGAAATAGGAACTCACTAGCCTAACTTCTATAGTAATATGCACTAAAAAGATAACAGAAAATTAATGTTTTACATTATCTAATATATCTATCTTATATATAATATCTATACTAATGCTCCATTAAATAAGAGGGGTGAGGGTAGCGAAGAGGGGAGGCTAGGGGGAGGTGGATGCCATTGCTCTTTAAAAACATTATCCTACCATTATTCACTCAACAAACATATAGAAAGGAATTAATCTGGGGCTGGCCCGGTGGTGTAGCAGTTAAGTGCCTGTGCTCCACTGCGGTGGCCCGAGGTTCACAGGTTCGGATCCCGGGCGCGCACCGATGTACCACTTGTCAAGCCATGCTGTGGCGGCGTCCCATATAAAGTAGAGGAAGATGGGCATGGATGTTAGCCCAGGGCCAATCTTCTTCAGCAAAAAGAGGAGGATTGGTAACAGATGTTAGCTCAGGGCTGATCTTCCTCACAAAAAAAGGAAAGGCATTAATCTGTGCTAAGGTACCAGGTGAGGTGAAAACACAGAACAGGCTGACAGAACGCAGCCAGATGTTTAAACAAGACTTGCCAAGACATGGAACTGTTCTAGATTGTGTGGTGGATGGGGTTACTGTTCCCAATACCTCACCTCTCCTTCTAGTCACACCTTTTCCCACGCCACTCTGCAATCCCTCCCACTAGGGGCAGTGGACTTTCTGCCCCTTGACTTAGGTTCAGTCACATGACTTGCTCTGGCCAATAGGATGCTGATTTGAAATGTGCCTTTTATAGCTCCACCATAATGATGAGAAGGACCTCTGCCCTCGAGAGTCACTGAATGAACACATGTGGAACAGATTTATGCTCGACTGGCAGCAGGGAGCCAAACCCAGTTAAACTGGAGCATGAAGCAGAGCCACCCAGTTGAGACAACCCAGATCAGTCAATCTCCAGCCAATTTAACAGAAATATCATCAAGAATAAACGACTGTTGCTGTAAGCCACTGAATTCTGGGATGTTTGTTACACAGCCTTGTGGTATAGATGACCAATACAGATGGCTTTCCCAAAGGGAATCCGTAAGCCATTTAAAGACAGCTTGTCCCTCCAAGTTCACAATGAAATCAAAGCTACTTACCAGGCTCACTTTTCTTCTTTGAACCAGACTTCTTCTTTGCAGGAGCCTCTTGCTTTGGTGCCTCCTGGCTTTGGACCATATCTGCATTTTTGCCCTGGCTAGGAGCTGACTCTGCCTTTTTACCCTGATTGGCAGATGCATCCACCTTTTTGCTCTGGTTGGGGGACCCTTCTGCCTTTTTGCCCTGGTTCGGGGTCCCCTCTGCCTTTTTGCCTTGATTAGGGGCCCCCTCTCCTTTTTTCCCCTGGTTCGCAACACCCTCCAACTTTGTGCCCTGATTAGCAACCGAATCCACCTTTTTGCCCTGGTTCTGGGCCCCCTCTGCCTTTTTGCCCTGGTTCTGGGGCCCCTCTGCCTTTTTGCCCTGGTTCTGGGGCCCCTCTGCCTTTTTGCCCTGGTTAGGGGCCCCCTCAGACTTTTTGCCCTGATTCTGGGCCCCTTCTGCCTTTTTGCCCTGATTCTGGGTTCCCTCCCCCTTTTTGCTCTGGTTTGGGGTTCCCTCCCCCTTTTTGCTCTGGTTCGGGGTTCCCTCCGCCTTTTTGCTCTGGTTCGGGGTGCC